TCAAACACGAACGGATTATATAATCAAGAACATCCACACAGTTATTGAACTCATAAATAGGTCTCGGTGAACCAATGCCTCTAGTTCAATTGGGATATATGTATCGAAGGGATCGTACTGTATGTTAACCATATCAGACGGTTCTTGCAGGCACTTCATTTGTATCTAGGGAATCATGACGCGTAGTTGCTGGACGGCAATCTTGATTCGTTGGGTAGTTAAGTTGAAAGTAGCTTCTTCTTAATTATAACTCTAGGGACGAGTTTAAACCACAATGTGTTGTGGGCCCACGGCTAGCTTACACCTGAACCATCGAGGGTCACACTGCTCGTGTACTTGAGATCCTTAATGCAACGAGCTAAGATTAAATAGTTAATCTTAGTGTAATTGGAAGTCAATGTGATTGAGTCCAACATTTGTAATTGTTAATTACGGATGAGAATAAGTAGCGGAAAAGAATCCAATGGACATTTAGTGAACATTCTATTTTGGGAAGTTTCCCAATTTGGCAAGTCCTAAATTAGGGTTTCCAATTTCGGAAATTGGTAAATTGCAAAGTGGTACACGTATCGACGAGAATTTGTGCTCGTTGTCAAAATATAATTGTTATAATTTTACGAGCATTCGTTTGTTAGAAACGAGCCGAGAAAGAGAGTGGAATTAAGTTGTTGGGCCTAGCCCAACTTAAGGCATGTTAGGGTTTTCACAAGGATCATATAAATAGGATTTATATGTCTTGTGAAAGACACAAAACACAAAAGCAACACAACACAAGCTTGAAACCCTAGCCGTCCACCTTGCAGCCGAAACCCTACCTCTGCCACCAGCCGCCGCGCCGCCGCTAGTCGCCGCCGCATCGGCATGTTTCTTTTCCCTTCGTTCTTCTTTGTTGTACTTAGCCTATCACGTATCTAGTGCTGCGTTGATAGTGGATTGAATATACGAGGTGAAACCTAAGAGAAAGAAGATTATTAAGCCGCCAACGCCGCCACCTAGGTCGTTTCCACGCGCCATCATGCACCACCACAAGCCGATGATGCGGGAAGGCAATTCTGAAAAACTGCTCTCGAATTTTATCCGCAGTCCTGCGAAAAAATTCGCCATAAATCAACCAGTAATCGGACATACATGAAATGTTGGTAGAAGCTTCAAAATTTGTTGATCTACAATCTGCCAAAAGAAATGGTGCGTCCAATCAATAACCATGAAGATATTGAAGTCGGAGCAGGCCTGTAATTTTGGATCAGAAAAGAGGTTGGATCAGGTTGAGTGGGAAGAGCAGCTTGCCATCTTCTCGAGTCTTTGTTCGATCCACGCTTCAAGAGTAAAGTATTGTTTTCCCTAATTAGTATATATTAATTAATTTATATTAATTGAGATTAGTGTATCTTAATTGATTATTGAATCACATGAATCGATATGTTCGATTATGTGTTTATGTGAATCGTTCGTTGAGCATGTTTATTATTCGATTTAATTTTGCGAGAATGCTACGATGATTTAACTTATGTTGTTGAAATTAATTATACATGCGAGCATGTTTGTCGGTGATTGGAAGAGAAAAGGTACGCAATTAATTGTAATTATTGTGCACATGTTTGTTTATATAAATTAGTTTATATAAATGAAATAAAATAAAAATTGTTTTCCGCTGCGTACACGTGTTCGATCCCCAACAGTGGTATCAGAGCTACGGTTGCACAATTGCCTACGTGTATATTACTTTCGATTGCATGTAAATAGTTTATTGAATTTATTGAATTGGTGAAATTGGATTTCGGTTGGTTTACTTTTAATTTGATTTTAAAATTGGATTTGATCGATTTTAAAATTGGGATTGATCGATTTTAAAATTGGAATTAGAAAATTGAATTGAATTTTAGAATTCAATTTGATCGATTTTAAAATTGGAATTAGAAAAGTTGATTTAATTTTAAAATTGGATTTGATCAATTTTGAAATTGGAATTAGAAAATTGGATTTTGGTTTTAAAATTGGATTTTGATTGATTTTAAAATTTGAGTTGGAAATTGGGTTTAAAATTAAATTTGGATTTAAGTTTTAAATTCCAAAATGATTTTCTAAAAACTATCCGGGCCGGACAGCTCAGTCAGACCGGTCCAACCGGATCTAACCGGTTTAGAGAGCAGGAAATAAATAAGTTGAATAAATAATTCTTTTTCCAGAAATTAAAACTAAATCAAAATTGATTTTTAATTTTCTGAAATTATTTATCAATTAAAGCCCAATCCAAATATTCGATCCATTGATAAATAATGTTCAATAAATGAGTGTTTGATTAATTAGTTAATTTAAACGTTAAATCAATTTCATTAATAGAACACATGTATAATAGTGATTATACTTCAACTTAATAAATTGTACTTTAAGCTTTATTTGATTGATTCATGTTGATTAAGGTCCTTTAACTATTTCGAAACAAATCCTCATAATTAATTATTGTAATTAATTATAATTTAGGTCGAATGTTCCTCTTAGGACAATATGCGTTTCCATATACCTTTAGAGAACATAGTTGTAGGAATCCAATCGACATGTCCAATAATTCTGATAAGATAACAACAAAACAATAATAAATGCATGATTCTTAATTTATTAAGAATTATTTCAAGCTATAAAGAAAAACCAATCTGTTGAATTTTTCTTTCCTTCTACTAACGGTTAAATTATGTGTATCCCCTTGCAATAGTGCAGTAAGCCGTGTTAGCGGGGAGTGCTATAGTAGGGTAAGTTGTAATTTAATTGACATAATGATACAGGTAGCCATATAAATGGTTATGCTAGATTAAAATGGTCGGCTAGATTAAGTAGGGGCTGCATTAGTTTGGTATAATCAGTTCTATGAGCATCTTTGATTGGTAGGTTAGACTTGTCACTCGAATATTTTGAATTCGCGAGATTAACTTAGGTCATTATCAAGAGTGAGGAAAATATATTTTAAGGGTCATATAACGACATGATTGATGGAGATTTACTTAAAGCAAATGTAATCGGGCTAGAGTAACTACGAGTTACATTTGCCTATTGGACCTAAAGCCCATTAAAAGAAAAATAAGTTTCTCGTTTGTCTACAAGAGGGTAGTGGAATTCGATAAAATTTAGTGGGAGTACAATTAAATGATAAAAGTCCAAATATTTAATTGCAATCATTAATAATGAGTTATCTTTTATAAGTCTACTTCAAGCTTTTAGTACAAATGCTAAGAATCCTTTATCGTCAATTCTCGACACCAACAAAACTTAATGGCAATAATAACTTTGATTAGCTGAATAAACATTCATTTGGTGCATTTGCTCCAAGAGAAATTGTGCGTATACTCAAATATACCCCGACCAAACTTCAAGATAACTCAACTCAGTAGGAGACCACCACTTATTAGAAGTGGAAGATGGGTGTCCGTATTGACGAAGTGTTATATGATAGCACCTAGTCGCCCAAATTAGTGATGAATTATGAGAATGACCTTTATGTTGTTAACACAAAGGCTCACCTCGAGATTGCGTGTGGTGAGAGTATTATGACAATGAGGTTTGTGAAGACTAAGGAGTTGATGTCTCTTAGGCTACGCAAAAGGACTTCGGTCCATGAGCATGGTTTAAGATGACTCGCTCCCAAAGAAGTTGCGTGACCACAATGTCGTTCTCCCACAAGAGTTCTCGGTGAATCTCATGCTTCCATCACTAACTACCTTTTATGAAACGTTCATAATTAATTTCAATGAGAATATGGTTGAATATCTTTTTGAAAGACTTGGTCAACATGTTGAAATACGAGTCAGTTATTAAGGAAGAAACGTTTGTTTTGCCGTCGGCACCTTCTATATCTTTTTCTAAGAATAATTCAAGGTGGAAGAAGAGGGTAAAAGGAAAATAGTTTCCAGTCAAGCAAAAAAATAGACTAGGGGTGAATCGAGTATTCGCAAGGATAAGGAAAACAAGCATATAAGTGATGCTTTCTTCCAGTGTGGAAAGACAGACCATTGGGCACTGTAAACTTCACGGAGTATCTTCATCGGAAACGTTCTGAGAAAGATGCGTTTTTCATTTAACCTGAACTCAATATAGAAGATAACTCAACAAAACTTTGGCACATTCGATTAGGACATACTTCTTTCAGACGAATGAATGAGTTTGCATGTGAGGGATTGTTCATGTTGGATGATGTGAACTCACTGCGGGCTTCTGAATTTTGTTTGAAAAGAAAAATGTCCAAATTACCATTTAAGGGTCAAATGGAGCATGTTGAAGGTCTCTTGGATTTGATCCATGCAGACGTGTGTGATCCACTAAATGTTAGTGCGAGGGGTGGTTTTAACTAGTTCGTAACCTGTACCGGTGATTACTCAAGGTATGGTTACGTATAATTGATGAAGTACAAATTTGAAATCTATAAAATGTTCAAAGATTTCAGAAACGAAGTAGAAACGAAATTCATACGAAGTATTAAGCAACTGCGATCCGGTCATAGTGGAAATTACTTAAATGATGAGTTTATCGACTATCTCAAAGAGAACGTGATTCACTAAGTTACCGGTGTACTTATAGGGTCATGCACTCCATACCGCCGCGTATTTGCTGAATAGGGTTAACACCAAAGAAGTTAGTACCACACCATATGAACTTTGGCATTCCCGATAATCCACTTACATGATGTGGCTAGTGGGAGACGAGTTGAATAGTCGATCCAACTTATGCCATTTTGTGGTGTATCTCAAAAATTGATTTAGATACTTACTATCCCTTGAAACAAAAGTGTTTGTCTCGAGGAATGCCACCTTCTTAAAGAAGAAATTTATATGCGATAGAATAGGTGTATGGTAGAAGTCGAAAAATTCGAGAACCACGAATTGAAGTTCCAACACCATAAATAGAACAAGAGTCAATCAAAATCAAATCACCCATTATTGTACCTTCTCAACCATCTATGTGGAGATTCGAAAGGATCCGTAGATAACTCATCAGGCTAACCCTCGTTGAAGGTAGTCAAAATGAATTTGATGAGGGATGTGATCCAAGAACCTTCAATGAGGTTGTATTTGATGCAATAAGGGACATTGGCTTAACGCCATGAAATCCGAAATGGATTCCATATACTCCTGTTAGAGTAAGTGACCAACAAGCGAACTTGTGGTTGTGGTCTTTCCATTTATTCTTGTAATAAATAAAGTTTTTTCTTATTATTGCTAAAACACCTTGGCATTCTATATCTTTGTCCCTTTGTCACAAATATAGATATAGTCCTTACAGTTATTACAAGTACTAGTAATTGATCTTTAGGATCGTGAGATATTTGTTGGGTTTCGGGCACGCGTACGCAGCGGAAAACAAAAATTTTATGTGAATTAAACGACTTTAAAACACATAAGCACATGCCCGATAATATAAATCAATTAATTGCGTACCTTTGCGCTTCTAGCGAAATTAAATAACAACATACATGCTAATTTATTTAACCGAATTTAAATCAATTAACATGCTCGCGTTTAAACCAAATAACATGCTGGCAATGATTAAACCGATTACACGTAATCACATAAAATCACACAAAAGCAAACATGTATATATAGAGTTTAAACGTAAACGAAACAAGAACATTGAATTCGTGTGTCTACCTCTTGAAGCGTGAGGTAGGAGCGCTTAGCAAGTCGAGATTGCTACGGAAACCAATCCGTACAATCGGGGCAGCAGCGGTGAAACGGCCACGGCGGCGCGTGAATTTCACGCGCGGTCTTCCGGGGCGGCGCGTGGGGTAGCGTGCGGCTTCGGCTCGTGCGCTGCTCCTCGATTCCTCGATCTTCGATATTCCTCCTCTCGGATTTCACCTCGTATACTTCGATCTACTAAACACGTGGCACTAGACACGTAATAGTTAGAAAAACGGAAGAAAAAGAGAAGGAAAGAAACTACCGAAGCAATCGGCCGACGAACGGCCGATTCCGGTGAAATTCCGGCGACGGCGCCGGTGACGGCCGCGGGTGAGAGGGCGAGAGAGAGAGAGGTAACGGCTGCTAGGGTTAGGTTTTTCACTTGTTTGTGCAAGACCTATAAATCTTGTATTTATAGTGTCTTGCATAAAACCCTAGCGGGCTTAAGTTGGACCGGGCCCAACAGCTTAAGTTCGCTAGTACTTTTACTTGCTCGTTTCTCTCAATCCGATGACCGAAAAATTGCAACGATTACATTTTCGGAATCATTATAAAGTCCTCGTCATTAGGAGTCTCAATTCTCATTTTCCAACTTTCCAAAAGTGGAAACCCTAGTTCAGTGCACTTTCTAAATTTGGAAACTTCCCGATTTAGAAAGTTCACTAATACGCTCGCCTATTCTTTTCCTTTTCTTATTCTCATTCGTAATTCCAAATTACTAATGTTGGACTCAATCATATTGAATTCCAATCATGCAAAGATAAACTATTTTATCTCTGACCGTTTATTCAAAGATCTCATGTGCACGAGCAGTGTGACCCTCGATGGTTCAGGTGTAAGCTAGCCGTGGGCCCACAACTCTTTGTGGTCAAAACTCGTCCCTTAGAGTTACGATTAAGATGAATCTCGTTTCACCTTAATCACCCAACGATCAAGATTGGCGTCTAGCAACTACGCGTCATGATTCCCTAGATACAAATGAAGTGCCTGCAAGAACCTTCAGATATAGTTAACGTACAGTACGGTCCCTTCGATTCATATGTCCCGATTGAACTAGAGGCATTGGTTCATCGAGACCTCTTTATATGTTCAATGACGGTGCGATCGTTCTAAGTGTTGTAATCGTAACGTGCATGACTTAGAGAAACGAATCCTCTAATCATCACTTAGTCAGCTATGGCCAGAGACTTAGAATGATTACAAACTTTCAGAACACACAGGACATCCAAGACTATTCTAGCGATCGAATCCCCGACTACAATACACAGACCTCCCACTAGATTTCGGACTGCACGAACACTGGCCCTTGGGATGGTCCTCGGTGGAACTCAGGGACAGGTCACGATACAGCTGGTCCTCTAGTGAAGTCACGGTGATGTCTAGGTCATAAGGACTAATGGTGTACAACTATACCATAGATATCTCTACTCGATTATTGGGAATCACTTAGAGATTTCTAGGGTGAGGGAGTTCAGTGAACTCATCAACTTACGAGCACCCACTTATGCATGCCGATATCACAATACCGTTTACTGATGAGCTGCAGTACACATACACTAAGTGCTAGTCTTAATGGGAAAGGCCGATATCCTCATTAGTGGCGTAACCCTTCGACTAGGAACACGTTTAACAGTTATAATACTTGAGTAAATATCTCACGATCCTAACGATCAATTACTAGTACTTGTAATAACTGTAAGGACTATATCTATGCTTGTGACAAAGGGACAAAGATATAGAATGCCAAGGTGTTTTATCATTAATACGAATAAAGGTTCGTTTTATTACAATAATAAATACGAAAGACCACAACCACATGTTGGCTTGTTGGTCATCTACTCTAACAATATTTACTTTAGTATTATAACTGTTAAACGTGTTCCTAGTCGAAGGGTTACACCACCAATGAGGATATCGGCCTTTCCCATTAAGAGAGTAGCCCTTAGTATATGTGTACTGCATCTCATTAGTAAACGGTATTGTGATATCGGCATGCATATGTGGGTGCTCGTAAGTTGACGAGTTCACTGAACTCCCTCACCCTAGAAATCTCTAAGTGGTTTTCAATAATCGAGTAGAGATATCTATGGTATAGTTGTACACCATTAGACCTAATGACCTAGACATCACCGTGACTTCACTAGAGGACCAGCTGTATCGTGACCTGTCCCTAAGTTTGTAATCATAGTTTGTGTGTCGTGTGTGTTCTCATAGTTTGTAATCTCTAAGTCTCTGGCCAGAGCTAACTAAGTGATGATTAGAGAATTCGATTGTCTAAGTCATACACGTAACGATTACATCACTTAGAACGACCACACAGTCATTGAACTACTAAGGAGGTCTCGATGAACCAATGCCTCTAGTTCAATCGGGACATATGAATCGTAGGGATCGTACTGTACATTAACTATATCGAAAGGTTCTTGCAGGCACTTCATTTGTATCTAGGGAATCATGACGCGTAGTTGCTAGACGCCAATCTTGATTCATTGGGTGATTAAGGTGAAACGAGCTTCTTCTTAATCGTAACTCTAAGGGACGAGTTTTGACCACAAAGGGTTGTGGGCCCACGGCTAGCTTACACTTGAACCATCGAGGGTCACACTGCTCGTGCACATGAGATCTTTGGTCACAAGGGTTTTCGGTAGGGTAGTGATTGGGGTTGGTGTTTTGAGGCCGTCGTCATGACATAGTGATACTAGAAAAATAATAATATTCTACATTATCACATAAAATACATAACATACATAATTAAATACTTACATACCGCTCCGGAGATTCCAAGATCGATTGATTCGTATGGATTTTCCCAAAATCGGTGCTCTGATACCACTTCATGTAGCACCCCTTTTACTGTACACACTATACCAGAAAATGGTATAAATGTTTTTCTAATAAGTTGCAGCGGAAGACCTTTTGAAAATATGGTTTTATTTTTCAAAATAAAATTCTACAGAAAGGTGGTGAGGTTTTCTCTAGTTTTGAAAATACTTGAAGTGGTTCGCTTCAATTTTCGTTCGGTAAAAATCTTTCTTGAAAAAAAATAAAAACTTTGAAGTCGAATACTTCATAGATTTAGAAAAAAACCATTCTCTCTTTATTCGGTGCCACATTTTCTTTTATACGTTTTCTTGATTTGAATAATGAATTCGGGTTGTAGTGGAGCTCTTACGCAATCAACATTAGAAATAACAAGACTAGTGAGAAAACATTATATTATACATAAGGGTTAAAAATCGTTTCCCGAATACATATTCAAATACTACGGATTACAACCCACTAAAAAGATTAAAGTACCAAAACAGAAGTTAATTAAATCCACATAAATTCCATACGACTCGATCCCTCGACTTTCATCAAATTTTGTTCAACTTTGCTCATCGGATTCGGATCATGAGTTACCTACACTAAGATAACATCTATATGAGCCTTTAAAAAGACTCAGTAAGAATCCGAAAGTAATAACAAGGTTTTGAAGAAGTCTTTTCACATAATTTATATACACACATACACACACACATATATATATATATATAGAGGCATACATAATAAACTTACGATCATTCAAACTTAGACTTAATATACCTTACCTTTACCTTTCATTTAAATCTTTCAAGAATACTTAACATCCTTTCATTTCTTTCAAAAGTCGGGTACTTAACACCCTTCTTTTCTTTACTTTAATATGCAATATGCATGAAAATGAGACTTTAGACTTTTAAGACTTTTCATGATAAAACATTGGGCCCATTTGGAAAAACAATCGTGGAGTTCGGCAATAAGCTTTGAATTTGGGAGCTTGTGATCTATAACTATACTATAGTCACGGCTATAACTTTACTATAGCCAAGTTAGTGGTTTATAATCCCGATTTCTATGTGAATCAGTCCCTATGTGAACAGGTCCCTATTGTACCCCAACTATCAACAACTAACGGAATACCAACCCCATGTATCCCATACTTATTCACCTAGATCCACAACCAATTTCAAAAAAAAATTAACTTTGAAAAAGCGTGATTTATGCATCTTAGACTTACTAATGAATCGCATGAATCTTACATGATCTATCTATGTTTACGTTTACATAAACAAGCATCAAAGTAACAAGTACCACAACAACTATACTTCACATCTTTAATCAAACCGTTGAACACATAATCATATATAACATAACACTTTTGTTTCACATTTCATTTCATAAGTACACATAAATATTTAATATCACATAGTAGCACAAAGAGGGTCATTCTTGAACTTTAACCATATTATAATCACATAATCATATAACCATGTCATTCATAGCATATCAATATCACTCATATCATGAATTATGAA